AATCCAATTTTTTAGAGCACAACAACTCTGCTGTGAAGCGGAAGAAGGGGCTAAGTCCAAAAACCAAGGTTTTCAGGAAACGCAAAAAACTATTTGCACATAACTTTTCAAAAAATGTATGATGCAGATTGAATACACTTCTATCAATGATATCACTGGCATTTGGAAGTTTTTCAATATCACTCTCCTTCACTGAGATATAGGACTTGACTCTTTTTACCATCATTGACATACCGAGATATGATGACTTGACTCTTTTCACATGATGAGAATTTAAAGTCAAGTCATTGAAAAATTGGCAAAAGGGGCTAAGTCAACTTGACTTTTTGGAGGAGAAATCGCAAAAAAAGCCAAGTTTGTACCATTTTAAAGACTATAAATGAAAGCTCCTTTCCAAATCCGAATTCGTCGTTCGATCTCCAACCAGATAGTATAGCTGTACCTTAAAACTTGATGCTGGACACCGGACAGGAAAAATAATGCTTTTATTGGCATTATTCTCTGTTGTTTTTTTTTTATTTGTGCAAAAGGGGCTAAGTCAACTTTCCGGCACTGGCGGAGTTACGCTTGTTTTTTTTCGGAGCCAACGTTAACTCCTTTTGCTTCTTAAGGAAATCTGATGACTTTGGGGTCAAGTCAACTTAGCACCTTTGGTAGCCTCCTGCTACGTGACAACTATCGTACAAAACAAGTCAAGTCTAGTTAGCCCCTTTTACAAACCACTATATACCCAAATCTATGGTACTTAGCACCAAACCGTTTGGTGGACAGATGTGGATTATAATGTACTCTACTATGGCATCAAAATCTCAGTTTGGTGCTAAGTCAAGTTAGCCCCTTGTTCAGCTTCACAGCAGAACTGTCAGGGGGCTGCTTTATCAGAACCGACTGTAGAAATACGTCCGCCCGGCGTCGTAAATGCTCACGCCCCTTTCCCCCACCTGGATAAAAACAAAAAATAAAAATGGGGAGTACTTTCTTCATCCCACCGCAAAGGGATCAGCCGAACCACAATGGTCGGAACATACTCCCGGGGTTTGTGAGACGGTTGACGCGTACGCTGTACTCTCCATGTACTGACCCACTACAGATCATGGAGCTCCTTTAAAGCCAGATTCTAGGCCTTCTTAGTGCACCTGCCACCACAGCAAGGTGCCAGGCATTGCCAGCGTAAAATGGCTGGTTCCCTGGAGCCTAAACCCTTATCTCGCCTCTCGCCTCTATGGCTCAGTTAGTAGCGCGCCCGCCCAGAGCAAGGGGGCTCGGCGGTTCGAATCTCCGTCAATCTGAAATCTTTCTCAGGACACCAAATTTCAAATGGATTTCAAACCCGTCATTTCACCACGCCCCTCTCGTGGAGTTTCGACGGCCTAGTCGTTACCGCCCTTGGTGGCACTGCGTCGAAGGTGGCACATGACTCGGCTCTGGGCACTCTGGAAACGCGGGTGTGAGACAGTCTCACACCAAACAGTGTGAGGCTAACATACCTCACACCAAATAGTGTGAGACCCTCTGTGCCTCACACCATTTGGCATGAGAAAGTATCACTCCATTTTGTGTGAGGCAGAACGAGTCTCGCACCATTTGGTGTGAGGGGTGTGAGGCACAAGGAGTCTCACACCACTTGGTGTGAAGCGAAGGGGTGTAGTTAGATTGTCCGGCCTACTTTTCTCCGACCTGGTAATTGTCCCAAAATCCCCAAAAGTGCTGTCCCACCTCGGTTTTGTCCTACTTATCTTTCTCCGACCTCGTCGATATGCTGAAATTGGGGAAGAATGTGCTTCAAAGAGTAACAGGCTTCAAAAGTAAAAAATAAAAATGGGGGAGTACTTTCCTCATCCCACC